AAGAGCTACTATAATGAGAAAATCTGCGAACCCTCCTTATAAACCCAACACAAAATGCTACAATATTATATCTTAAAGGAAATGGCAGCAATTAGTGCCATCCTTAAGACCTAAAAGATACAAAGATGGTAATCTCCAGCATATTTTCATGTAATTCATCATTCTGGCTCCTAGAAAAACGAATCAGATCCTGGAGCACGACATTGGACTATCTCAAACAGCTAAGTGGAGATCCCAATTGCAACAACTGTGCCAGAAGTGATAGTTTTTGCTAGGGCAAATTAACATAGCTTCAGATATGTGGTACATGGACATTGATCTGGGATGTGCATTTGCTTTCATCCCTGTCAAGGAGGACCAGAAGTAGATTGTATTCATTTGAGAGGATAATAGCATATATTTACACTTTGTCCCAGGGTCATGTTCACTCTCTCACCCTCTGTCATAATATAATCAGCAAGATCTGATCCGTCTGGAGATTCTGAAGAACATCACATTGGTCCACGCTATCAATGACAACACTGATAAGTTAAAAGTGGCAACTGCGTCAGAAGCCTTGGTAAGACACATTCACTCCAGAGGGTATGAGATAATCGCTATAAAGATTCCTTGCCAAATCAGTAAACCAGTTAGGGGCATAGTAATTAGGAGCATGCCAGGAAAACACTTCCAAAATAAAGGCCAAATTATTGCATCTGGACCCTCCCATCACTAAAAGGAAACATAACACCTGATATTCCACACTGCTATGACCCATTTACCAAATGAAAAAGAAAGCTGACAGCTTTGAATAGGACCCAGAATAGGAAAGGGATCAGCAGCTGGTCCACAATGCAATGTGGATCTTCACCCCATGGGCTATATTATTTGGCAGACCCTACAGAATTAGTTATCTGTAGTGAGAACTGGTACCATGTGTTGTTCATGACAAACCCAATGGAAAAAAAGATACAGTTTATAATACTTGTGTTCTGAAGTAAGGCCATGCCATCGGCATCAGAGGATTGTATGTCATTCAAAAAAACAACCCCTGCATTCTATGTGGCTGAGGTAGAGTTAGAGCTCATGACCATGAGACATGCAAAGATAATGAGGCCAGAGATGCCCATCATGGCTAGGTTCAAAAAGGCCCATTAAGTCCTAAGTCCACTAAAAATCCATCAAAATATGGAAGCAGGATAGCCAGGCTAGAGAAGAATAAGTCAGGGCTAGAGAAGAGAAGTGAGTTAGATAAACTGGTGGCCTAGCCTCCATGTCAACCATCACTGTTGCATCAGTACCTCTCCCTCAGCTCCCATCTGGCCATGTAGTGGTTGTGGTGGCATGCAGGTGGGGGGACTGTCACTTTTAACCAGCCAACAGGGGAAGGAAAAGGCCAATCGTGGTTAACCAACGGTTTTAGTTCAATATGTGATGAACGCTGAAAACAGACTGTGGCTGCATTACACCCTCAATCAGGGGTGGCCTTGAAAGGTAGTAGAGAGAAGAAATCCTCCCAATGGGCAGAGCTTTGAGTGGTGCACATGGTCACCCACTTGATTTGAAAAGCTAAATGGACCAGTATGCATAAATACAGACTCACGTGCAATGACAAATGGTCCAGCTCATTGGTCAGAGGCCTGGAAAGAGAAAGCTGGAAAGGTTAGAGATAATAAAGTTTGGGGAAGAGGAATGTAGATAGATCTTTAAAAGTGGGTACAAACTGTACAGATCTCTGTATTTTATTTTAATGTCCACCAGAAAGCACCCATCATGGAAAAGGCACTAAGCAACTAAGTAGACAGAATGCCTAAGCCAGTTGCTGATGGCAGACGGTGTCATCTGCCACTCCAGTACTGGCACTATGTGTGCATGAATGGAGTAGCTATGGAGGTAAGATGGAGGGTTTGCATGGACCCAACAGTATGAGTTTCCACTCACTAAGTTAGATATGAATGATCCCTCTGCTGAATGTCCAATCTGCCAAGAATACGTGAGCCCTCAATGTGGAACCATCCCTCGAGTAGTCAAACCAGCTATTTGGTGGCAAATTGGTTACATTTTACCCCTTCCATTGTGGAGAGGGTAGTGATTTATCTTGACTGCACTCAGCACACACTCCAGATATGGCTTGCATTTCTTGCATGCAGAGCTTTGGCCAGCACAAACTTCCAAAGACTTGTGGAGTATTTGATCCACAAACCCAAGATGCTTCATTTAATGGACTAAATTGTGCCCCTTCCCCCCCCAAAAAAATTTATATGTTGAAGAGCTAAACCCTAGCACCTCAGAATGTGACCTTATTTGAAATTATGGTCATTGAAAAAAAAATTATGGTCATTGAAGATGTAATTAGTTAAAATAAGGTCATACTGGAGTCAGGTGGCCCCCAATCCAATATTACTGGTGTCCTTATAAAAAAGGGAAATTTGAACACAGACATGAACACAAGGAGACTTCCAGGTGAAGGTAAAAGCAGGAATCAAGGTGATGCTTCTACAAGCCACAGAACTCTAAAGATTGCCAACAAACCACCAGAAAATAAGTGATAAACATGAAACTGATTCTTTCTTATAGCCCTAGCAAACTAGCATAGCACATAATGTCTCATTTGACCAAGGGACAAAATTTGTAGCAAAAGAGTTACAGACGTGGCAATATGACCGTGGAATTTCCAGGTTTTACCAAATACTGCATTTCCCAGAAGCTTCCAACCTAATAGATTAAAGGCGGCTCCATGATCTTTAAGATGCAGCTGTGGTGCAATTGAGAGATGCTATCTTGTAAAGATGAATCACCAGAAAAGAATTCCGGAATACCTTTCCTCAGATGTAGTTAACTTTTTATACAAAGCAAGTATATTTGAGTTTTGCAAGATGTGGATTGCAGTGGAGGCTGTGGTGTACCACTCAGATCACTTCCTGGAAGACTAAGGTGCTCATTGTCCAAGCTTTTGGAAACGTGGCCTATTGGAAGCTTGTAGCTGAGACCCTGCCACAGATCTGGTCCAGCCAAAGGTAGCTGTCTCACCGCGGGTTATCCCACAGGATGGTGTCTAAGTCTTATCTCATGAATATTATACCTTCTCTTATCTTGCTGAAGTATACGTAACAGTTTTACTTTTTAAATATTGTTTGATTTCTTTTCTTACCCTATAATCATCTCTGTTACTTCAGGGTAGTCTTTTTTAATTTTTTTTCTTCTTTGTCTTTACGTTAGGGTACTTTATCAAATATTTGATAATCCCTTGGCAGTCTGTCCAGTCATATTTAAAGTACAAATATGAGACCTTAAAAAGCCACCTGGATGCTCTGTTGGAGGGGATTAGCATCCGAAGGGCTTACTCTGAGTTGACTATTTCATTGGAGAAGCCCCCACACCCCATTTCAGTATGTGTATTTTCTATCTGGAGCAGATCTGTTTTTCCAGAAAAGGAATCCTCCATTCTTCTGTGTTTATGAGAGATGGGCAGGTAGTTTATAAAACTGGCTCCAAGGGCTGGTAGGGGAGTAAGAGAGTCTCATTATTCAGTATGCGAGCATCTGTGGTCTTTTTGATTGTTTGCAGCTCCCCTTCTCTTAAGGATTTCCCTGAGCCATAGACCCTATGAGAAATGTCTTCTGAGAAGCAGCCTCCATTCTTCTCCCTCAGTTGGGTAAAGCGTGGTTACTAGGCTGCCTGGGATAGGGGAAAGACACTTGGTATAGTCTTTCAGCCAACACGCCCACTTTAGCCTTCCCAGTGCTCTCTCTCAGAGCTGCTTCAGCCTACAGTTTGGAGCTTTTTCGGACTTGTGCGACACAAATGGCATCTTGATTTTTCCACGCTAAACTTATATTCTGGCTCACCCTACTCTGCTAAGTCAGTTACCTGCCACTAATCCATCAGCGTCCTATCTTCTAACCACTCTCCTTGCCCTTCTTTACTGATGCCTTTATTTCCTTTTGCTGTCATTCAGTGTGGCTAAAGCCCCAGAAGGGATTATGACTTGCTGAGGTCATACAACCTTACCAGGCTATAAATAATATTTTCATGTAGATCCCCAGGCCAATGTTCTATGTGGGGAAAACAAACAAACAAACAAACAAACAAACCCAGAAAGATATGAAAACAGGAGGAATTCAGGAATTCAGCTGTGTGGTTTGGGGAGGGGGTATGTATGCAGAGAGCACAGGTAGGGGGATCCTGAAATAAAATGAAGAGATATGGCCAGAAAAAAAAGGGAGAAATTTTTATCCTTAGGTCTTTTGGCCCCTTATATTTGTCTTCAAATTCTTTCAAGATATTTATATATAGTTTATGGGAGCCCCTTTCTGTGTTTCCCACTATTCTATTGCAAGACAGACTTCCTACTATCTCTGTTCTGTACTCCATTCTTCCCAGAAGTAGATGGTATTTTTAAAATGTGGTTCTACTCAAATTGCCCATATCCTCAAATGCTTAAAATGAATCCCTATTGCCTATGAGATAAAGTCCAAATCCCCTCGTGTTTCAATAATTTTGAACTAGGTGGGGAGAGAGGATGACAAAGAAAAGTAGAAGGAAGAGATGGGAGCAACTTGACAAAAGAATAAGTGTTGGTGATTGGGAGAGGCTGAAGATGACTCAGAGGTGATAAGCTTAGGTGACTAGGGGGATTTAAAACAGGAAAGTCAGAGGAGTTGTTGAACTTGGCTTTAAACATGACGGCCATAGAGAAATGCCTAGCAGACAGATGAAAATAGGGGGTGAAGCGTGCATCAGAGGATCTCAGGATTGGCAAGTGCTTCTGTGCTTCGCAATCCAATGCTGAAAGAAGGGAGAATATGATAGCTCCAAGGATCATCAAATCAAAGGAAATCTCTTTGAGATGGAGATATTTGAGTGGGTTTAAGTAGGAGAGAAGGAAAACAAGAGGGGATGGGGTTGATTTTTATTTCTAGTGTATACAGTGCTCTTTTTTCTTTCAAACCTGAAGCATATCTAAAACATAATTCCCTGATTCATACTGTAATACTGATAACTATATTCATTTCTTATTGCTTCTCTAATAAATCACTACAAACTTAGTGCATTAAAACAAGACCAATTTATGATCTTGCAGTTCTGAAGGTCAGAGGTCCAAAATCAGTGTCACTGGGCTAAAGCTATGTGCAGGCAGAGTTGGTTCCTTCTGGAAACTCCAGGGTAGAATCCATTCCATTTCTTTTTCCTTTTGGGTTTCTAAAGGCTGCCTTCACTCTTTTGCTTATGACTCTTCCTCCAACTTCAAAGCACATCACTCCAACCTCTGGTTCCATTGTCCAATCTCCTTTTTCTGACTTTGACCTTGTTGCCTCCCTCTTTTAAAATCCTAGTTCTTACCCACCAGGACAATACGAGATAATCTACCCATCTCAAGGTCCTTAATTACATCTGCAAAGTCCATTCTGCCATGTAAAGTAACATGTTTTATAGGTTCTGGGGACCTATGTCTTAACGTACATACATTAGGAGGGACCATTACTCAGCCTACCACACTGTTTGAGCTATGTATATTGATATCACTGAATGACTTAGTGAATAAATGAAGACTTTTTAGAAATCCAATAATATTTATTACTAAATCCATCATGTACTTGGTCATGTTTTACACGATTTTCAGAGAATATCTAGGAAACCAGTGTTTATCTACAAACTTGATCCTGCTTAGTCTCACAGTGAATTCTCAGTCATATTGAAATGGCAGCCAGTTCATTGGTTTCCATGGAATTAAAACCAGAGAAGTGGCAAGCCTATTTCCATCATTCTGATGTAAAGCATTTGACTACAATAAAGACAAACAGCAGAATAATGACAAAGATGACCGATGGATCTGAGCCATCACTGGGCCCTGATTTCTCATACTGACTCCCCTTAGCCTCCTTTGCCCCAGCTAACGGGTTCTTGGCTTGGTTTGGGATATACACACCAACTCCAGGTGAGGAACTCCGAATATTTACGTGGCAGAGCGGGGATTTGGATGGCTTTGTCATGTAGCTTTTTAAGCCCTGACCACAGACGCCCAGAGTACATGCCTCACAATTGGCTGTGTCATGGGACCCATCCAGGGGCACTTCCGGGATTACTGGCATTTCTGAAGACTTCCTCATGCCATTTCTGTAGTATTTCTCCAATATATGCTGCACCAGGTTGCTCAGAATCCTCGTGGTGCTATCCGAGGAGAACTCCGGAATCTCATATTGGGACCAGGTGCACTTCTGGCACCTTTGGCCAAAGACCCTCACATGCACCTGGCCCTGTGATGTCCAGTGGTTCCAACATGTGTGGCACAGAATCTTCACTTGGGCAGAAGCCCAACTCCGCTGGCAGGAGGAACACCGGAACCTGCAGTCAGAAGGAAGATGCTCATTATGCCTTCAGCTGATTGTTAACCTGAGGGAAAATGGTCCTGGCCCGTCTCTAAGATCCTTTCCAATTGGAAAATAATCATGTGATTTAGATTGTTCCAGTCATTGACAAACAGAAACAAGAAGGATCATGTTTCAGATAAATCTTTTCCTGTGACCTACTGAGTATCCACCCATATGTTATGCCCAATTCTACCTCTTTGCTAGTAAAACATCTCTAGATGCCTCCGAGGGAAAATCATGTCTGTCATCTTCCAGAGAAACTTATTCCTAGTTTTGGTCACAGAAAGCTTTGGCAAAGTATCTATTTTGAGGCATTAACTATAATTGATGCTTTACAATGTTATCCCATCTCATCTTTAAAGCATTCCTGTGAAGCAAGCCCTATTAAACTCAATATCAAGATAAGGAAACTGAGTCATGAAAAGGATACACAACCTGTTAGAGGCATGTGGCTAATCCCAGGCCATCTGAAATTAATCTTGTTTACCTGCTGAACACATTGCCTCTGATGAGCAGCATAGCTAATCCCTCACACCTGGAGAAACAGACTGGCACCTGCATCCCTCACACCTGGGGAGAAGATCCAAGTCCACAGTTTACATCAGGAAGACCTTAGATAAAGCCCTTCCCTTCTATAAGCCTCATTGTTTGAATCCATTAAAAAAAAATTCAAGGGTTATATTGTCAGCATCAGATGAGATCATATATGTAAAACTACTTCATAAACTACAAAATGCTTTTCAAAAGCTGATTGCTATTTTCCAAAGTACACTGGCAGACTGCTTTTCCAATATCAAAATGACTATCAAATCAATTCAACCCAACAGGAGAAACACCTTCTTTCTGTCTGGAGGAGTGCCAAAACATTGTAAGACATCATGAGTCCCTCAAAAAGCTCTGGCTGGTGTGGAAAGAAACATTTACACAGTTCACTGGACTAGAAAGCAGAGCAAAATGACTGCTCTGTGGGCTCTGACAAGTCACTTGAGAACTGTTCTGGAGAGGTTCAGGGGGCTTTATTTAAACAACAGATTCTGCAGCTGAAAATAAGCATATGTATATGTTATATATTGTATCTGATACAATATATATAGTGTCATATCAATATATATGTATAATACTATATATAGTGTATATATTGTATCAGATACAATATATAACATATACATATGCTTATTTTCAGTTGCAGAATTTATACTGTATCTGATACAATATATAACATATTGTATATACATATATATACACACATTGTATTAGACGCAATATATAACATATACATATATTATTTATAAATTCATTATTCTGAAATGCATAGTACATATGTATATATAATCATATCATTTATGTATACATACACATAGATATTTTATCTTATTCCATTATCTTACAGGAAAGTATAAGAAGGAATACTTACTCTGCCTAGAGAACCAGAGAATATTTTTAGGAGGAGGAGGCACTAGAGTGGGCCTTGAAGGATGAGTAGCGAGGGGTGAGGGAAGGCCTGCTGGGCAAGCAGAACTCCATGAGCAAGGGCGTGGAAGTCTGAAAGTACATGGTATGGATAATAGTCCATAAGGGGTGGAGAAGGCCATACCTGAGACAGGATGGGGCAGGCAGGCAAACTGAGTAATAGGTCAGGAGAAAGCTAGGTTGGAGGTCCTGTGTGTCACTTAAAAAGAAATATTTGGTTGTCCAGGTCAGCAACTCTCACCCTCAAAATGAAGAAGGGAATTAAATAATAGCAATAATAGGAGAAACAAAACCTTATAATTTATAGTTGCTATATAATAAATTTTACTGTGTTGTGTGCTGTTTATTTTATTTTATTTTACTTTATTTTATTCTATTTTATTTTATTTTATTTGAGATGGAGTCTTGTTATGTCACCCAGGCTGGAGTGCAGTGGCAGGATCTCAGCTCACTGCAACCTCCACCTTCTGGGTTTAAGAGATTTTCCTGCCTCAGCCTCCTCCTCCTCAGGAATCATGGATGTGTGCTACCACACCCAGCTAATTTTTTGTATTTTTTAATAAAGGTGGGGTTTTGCCATATTGGCCAGACTGGTCTCGAACTCCTGACCTTGTGATCTACATGCCTCAGCCTCCCAAAGTGCTGGGATTACAGGCATAAGCCACCGAACCCAGCCATGTGTTGTTTAATATAAAACCTAACCCCCAGCTCTGCTTAAAATTAACTAACTCCCTGTAAAACCTACCTTATCTATTCTCCCCACATACTCAGCAAAGTTCCCAGGCATCTCAAGACTCCTGTTTTCCTTGCTGACCAGCTGGAAGGTCACAGGGCAAGATAACACCCAAAGAATGTACAATGTCTTTCTCAAAATGCTATTTTTCAAATGTAATGTACATCACAAGACATGTTACGATAATGAACCATTCTTTGTTCTGGCTTCTGTAAGCCCGTTAGCAGTTACGTCATCCCGGAAGCATAAAAAGTACCCCGCTTTCTTTCTCCTGGGCTCAGCCTGGGGATGCTAATCCGCTGAGCCGCTGGATACCTTAATAAAATCCTCCGGTTTCACCCATTGGCTACTCCGGTCTCCTGAATATTCTGCAACACTAACATTGGCAAGGAAAGTGGTTCCTGCAACCTGGAGGCTTGCTGGGGGTTAAAGGGGGAAGTGGTGAGTAAGGAAGGAGTATTACTTGGTTACTCCATGAACCGGGTTTTACGTTTAGTTTTTGCAACATCATTCTCTCGTATTATCCCCAGGCCTTCAGTAAAGCAATGTTCAGGGTAACTGCTTGATCTTAGCCAATTCTCAGGATATTTTTTTTTTAAATGACTCAATCCCAGGCTTGTATTGAACAGGGCCAAGGCTTGGAGAACTGCTGCAGCTGGGGGAAGCCAGTCAGGACTGATGGGGAGACTGCAAATGACTCTAGAGGTAGTCTGGAACAAATGAGGTGGCAAGAAAATAGAAGGGCAGATTTATGGAACTTGGGGCCTTCTTCAGGGTTTTCCAGAAATATTTAGGGAGGGAAACATAGTAAAAGAAGAAACTTCCTGCAGATAAACAAAATGGAGGTTTGGAGTCGTCTTCTCATTCAGACCCTAAAGAGCACTGTGACCACCATAGGATGGAGATCCTGCTGATATTTACTCCCTTAACAAGCTCTCAGAGGAATGAATCATGCTAAGCTGAGCCTGAGCCTCTCTTCTCGGAAGGGCTATTGCCTGGGAAACCCACACTCACCAGCCAAATGCTCTCTGTTGGTATTGCTTCCACCCTTGTGCTGGGCAGTCTAGCTGAAGGTTCCCATCCAGCTTCAGCGTCCATGTGGCCCAGGGTTTTGCCTCTTGGATTAGTTCTTGAAATGTCTGCTCCCAAGTCCAGATATCTATAGTCATTTTTTCCCTCTGAAGCTCAGAGAGTAGCTTTCAGGTTTGCTCGATTGCCAGGAAGAGAAAAACAGTTTCAGTTTCGGTATTCAGTTCAGTTTCGGTATTCAGTTCAGTTTCGGTATTCAGGTCAGTTTCTGTTTCTATGTATGAACATGAGCTGTTTTTTTAACCTTCATTCTAGACTGTTTGGGTACACAGAACGAGTCTTTGTTCCAAAGACAGAGAGAAGCAGAACATTGTTAGTTAACAGCCCTTGCTGAAAGAGAGATGTCTGAGTACAGAGCTCTGTTCTAGATTCTGGGGTCACATTTAAATTTGCTTTTATTTCTCTCTTTTTTTCATAATAGGCAAAGCACTATTTTTGGTACTGGGATAAAAGAGTGTCCCGTAGCTAAGAAACAGTCCCTACCCCCCCAGGTGCTCACACCCTGGTTGGAGATAGGGAGGTCAGGAGCAGGATAGGGGAGCACGTGTTTAATGCTCATCTCACGCACCTGATGAATCCTCGCCAGTCCCCTGAGGGAGGCTTATTCCTGGCATTTTGTGAGTTAGCTGCACAGAGAGCTGGGGGACCTTGTACAAAGCCCCTCAGTTAATGAGCAGTAGAAGGGAGACTTGAACCCAGGTCTGTGTGACTCCAAAACCTGCCATGTCTCCACCCACCTCACTCCCTGAAGAGAAGCTGAGAATGGCATTTCAGGTTCCAGGCTGGAACACTGGAGCCAATGTCAGAGGAACCCTAGGGAGATTTCCTAGATCCTGGGGTAGGAGTCCGGGTGCATGAAGGGATTATATAACTTTGCCCTTCACTCTGTTAATTATCTGAAAGGGCAATATACAAGCAGGTGTGGGGCCGCCTTTCAGTGGTAGGATACAGAGAATTCCCATTTTGGGGTGAGGAATTGAGACTAGATGACCTTTAAAGACATTTGTAAGTCTGTAATGCTGAGATTCCAGAGAGTAAGCTTTGTCCTCCTGGGGCTTAAATTCCAACAGGGGAGATAGGACAAGCAGTACGCCTAGGTCTTTAGGAGCCCTGCTACAGCCTCTGTCTCTGAGACAGGATCAGCCTAAGGCTTCCTGGGCTTTCTAGGTTTTCACATGCCCTGTAAGGACTTAGAAACACACTCTCTCTTTGCCTTCCCTTCCTGGATACCTATGTCTGTACACATGATAAAAGAAACTCTAGGAACTCGGAATCAGGTCCACAGGATATTAGAGTTGTGAAAACACTTAGAAATCAACTGATTCCTTTTCCCTTTAATTTTTATATATGAGAAAACTGGGGCCAGGTGCGGTGGCTCATGCCTGTAATCTCAGCACTTTGGGAGGCCAAGGCAGGTGGATCACTTGAGGTCAGGAGCTTGAGACCAGCCTGACCAACATGATGAAACCCCATCTCTACTAAAAAAAAAAAAAAAAAAAAAAAAAAAAAAAGCTGGGCATGGTGGCACACGCCTGTAATCCCAGCTAGTTGGGAGGCCAAGGCAGAAGAGTCGCTTAAACCTGGAAGCTGAGATTGCACTATTGCACTTTGGTCTGGGCATGAGGAGCAACACTCTATCAAAAGAAAGAAGAACGAAAGAATGGGAGGAAGGAAGGGAGGGAGGGAGGGAGAGAAAGAGAGAAAAGAAAGAAAAAAAGGAAAGAAAGAAAGAAAGAGGGAAGGAGGGAAGGAAGGGAGGAAGTGAGGGAGGGAGGGACGAAAGGAGGAAGGAAGAGGGGGAAAGAAATGAAAAGAAAACTGGGACCCAGAGGAATAAGGTCTCCTGCCTAAGGTCACATGGCAAATTAGTGCCTGGGTCCAAGCTTCACTCTCTTGCCCCACTTACGCATAAATCATTTCTGTACTCCTTCTCTTCACTTTCTGCTGGGTTTAGGATCCCAAGTCCACTCTATTTATTCTGTATCTTCAGAGTGTACCTTCAGAGAGTCTCCTGACCCGTGCAACCTCAAATGCTGTTTTTCCCAAAATGTAGCTTGATGAGTCCATTGTACTCCCGCATGATTTCCTTCTGCCTTTGCTTCATGTGTGCCCTTTGACACACCCAGCCTTTCAGGTCAGCCTGGTCCATGGCATGGGGTTCAGGAGAAAGGTTAAGGGTAATGTGTATTGAAGAAACACACTCAAAGTGCTTTTTCTTTTCTGTCACTCAATAACAGTCAACACAAAAACTTCTAACATGTGAGGGATTTCCTCACCAATAAGCAAGCAATCACTTAATTCTGCAGAGGACATCAACTAGATGACCTCTTATTCAATTCAATGCTAATACTATCTACCTCAAGCTAGCATCAGATCCAAAGGTGGCAGGCCAGTCCCCAAGACTGTTCCCCTACAACTTCAGACTGGGACTTGGGGCCAGTTGAAAGCCCCACGTTGTTTTACCTGTGCTTCTGACCAACTGGTTATAAATTAGGGTTCCCTCCTCAAGTTCAATTAATGTGCTAGAGTGGCTCATGGAACTCAGAAAAACACTTACTTATGCATGCCAGTTTATTGTAAAGGTATTAGATGGGATATATATGAAGAGATGCATAGGGAAAAGCATGGGAAGGGGCACAGAGCTTCCATGCCCACCCTGGGCACACCATCCTCTGGGACCCTCCTTGTGTTCAGCTATCCTGAAGCTCTCTGAACCCTGTCTGTTTGGAGCTTTTATAGAGACTTCATTACATAGGCATGATTGATTAGACTATGACCATTGGTGATCAACTTAGCCTTTAGCGTTAGAGATTACAGGATAGGACTGAAAGTCCCAATGCTCTAATTCTGCCTGGAGTTTTCTGGTGACCAGCTCTCATTCTAAAGCTACCTAGGGGCAGCCAGCCACCTGTCATTTCATTAGCATACAAAAAGATCTCTTCAGAGATTCTAGGGATTTTAAGAGTTGTATGCCAGGAAATGGAGTCAGTGACCAAATACATATTTTACAGTTTCACGTGTGCTTTGAGATGTGAGGGTTGGATAAAGTCCACTACCTTCCTCATCACCAAGAAGGAATGGAAAAAAGAGAAGGAAAAGAAGAAAATAAAGGCCCTTCTGCAATCTTACAATGCACTTAAGCCACTTGGTGGTTTGTTTGTTTGACGTTTTCACCAAGGCATTGTAACTCCAGAATAATAGAATTGTGGGACTTGGTCACTGAAGGAGACCTTAGATATATTACGACAGCCCCTTCAATTTCACTGAGACCCAATGAAGAAAATGACTTACCCAAGGAACACATGACTTATCTGCACCCAGCCTCAGATAGTTGTAACCTTCAAGTTTTCAACTGTTGAAGCCTTATCCCAGATTGGTTAAAGAACTGCTGAGAGACAGCTAGAAAAAAAAAAATCCCCAAAGGGAAAAAAAAAAGCACAGATGAATTCTGAAGAAGTGAAGAAGGAGGGCATAGAAAAATTTAGATTCTTAACAGTTCAAAGCCAGAATGAATCTACAAGATATTCTAATCATGGGTTGGCAAGCAATGTCTCTCCCCTTTTCTTTTCTAAGACAGACATTGCCAATCGATCTTCTCACCTTTCCCTCAGGATCCGGGTATAACTTAAGAATTTCCCTCATCACAGTGTTCTAGGCAGCCACTAGAAACTGACTGGTGTATGAAACATTTTTTTCCATTTCTGCAATAGTCTGACTCTTAATTTACAAATTACAGAAATTAAAGTCAAGATAGATTTGGGTTAATCAAGGCTTACGTTCAGTTTTTGTAATCTTAGACATGCACCCATTTTGGAATATCACATGACCCATCACAAATAGGGCTGGCACAAAACTTAACACATAGAAATATGTTCTTCTTGGGGACATTTTAGGCTTGAGAAGAAAGGAGACTAGACAAGAGTGATAAGAATTGGTGGGTATTGGACTGAAAGAGGAGATGGACATCCTCACTATGGCAGCTCTCCCCCCAGGACACTTGTCCAACCTCTTGGTGCCCAACTGCTCTGTAAAAGGTGAACAAGAAGTGAAATGAAGTGTGACATCCAGAACCAACTGCTGCTCAGGCCTCGTGTCTAAGCCTGCTAAGAACACCATTCAGGAGAGCAAAGATTATGTTAAAGGTAACCTCTGAGAAATAGGAAGAAATGTAAAAAAATCAAAAGAACTAAAATAAAAACTTACAAGTTTCCCAAGGGGCCATTTGTTTTGCATTATCTATGAAAATATGCTTGGCCTCAGGCCTCTTGAGGCCCCTTGCTCAGATGTAAGATTTGCCTCAATAGACAATCATTTGGTTATTTTTTGGTAGAGAGAATGTCCATGAGCTTAAAGAAAGCTAAGCCCTCGAGAGGAGACGTGACCAGCTCAAGGCTGCCCAGCCAGTTGAGACCACTTCAAATAGAGCCCCTGACTCCTATTCTTGACAGCCACTTCCTTTTCTTCAGCACAAACGGTCTTAAAATCAGAGGCAGGACTTCTTGTGCTCTGTTCCAAGGCTGTGGTAAACACAGGTACCCTATATGTGCAGAGGTTTTAATCACTCCCATGCCAGGCCAATGTCAGGAAAAAAGCAGGCCAAAGCTGTACTCTATAAATGAACTTTTCTCCTGTCCCTGATTCACTTTACCAACCTTTCACTCCTGCCCTCAAATTAACTACTTGCAACAAGTTCTTGTCTCAGGCTCTGCTTTTAAAATAATTCCAACCAAGACAGAGAGTAACTTACCTTCTTTTCCTTCCCATGTGTAAGAAAGTCCATTTCCAGTCTGACTTGTAAGAAGCTTGTAAGACATCACCCCCATCCTCATAACAACAGAAAAGCTGAACAAACTGACAATCAACAACTCTTCTGAAGTCCTTCAGAGAATCAAAGTCACAGGGCAAACTGCTACTCTGAAAACTGGAGAGACAGATGGGCAGAAACAGGGAGTCACTGCTCATCAGAGCCAGAGCCCAGGAACACAGGTCACAGCAGGAACTAGTATTGGCAGGGTAAGAACACTTTAAACTGTAATTGGCAATTGCTGGAAGCCCATGAGAACAAGCTTGACTATTTAAAAAACTGGGGGTGTGGGGAGCTCAGTTTTAGGAGAACCCTCACACCTGCATGAGTTTTACCTCCAGGAGCCGCACCAGGTTGTCGCTATGAAGATAGAGAAAAATATTCTTGTGCTTTCATCATGTGAGGAGAAAAGAAACCATATTTGTTTAATACTTAGAACTCTCTGTTCTCCCTAAGAGTCTGCCCTCAAGGGAAATTATTTCACCAGAGTAACACACTTGGGTTTAACAATGTCTAATCATCCTGAGAGAAGGGAAATGTGGGGAATAGGAACTGCCCCCAATTGTGTCATGTGTGACTTCCTTTCTGCATGGCGATGAGGACATGGCCCTCCATGCTTGCAGGGTCAGGAAAAGGGAGCCTGGCATAAACCCAAGGAGGCAGGGCCACCTGTATGCTGTTTTCTAGGAGAGGAGCCAAGTCTCACACAGTTCAGACTAATTCTCTACTCAGCTAATAATATCTCGGAGGGAAATAAAGAATTGAATCAGCCATCCACATTTCTAAACATATTACAATAATAATTAAACCACCAAGCCATGGAAGGGATTTTAAATGTTCCCTGACTTCCGTTTATAACTTGCTGGCTTTGTAATAGCTGACACCTAAATCATAAGTAAAAACTTGGGTACTATTCCCAGAGTTAGTCAATGGGAAAAGCAATGAACTTAAAATTAGAAGACAAGGTTATCAATTCCACTTCCAATACTTGCTGAGTTACCTAATCTCTGTGAACCTTCATGTCCTTAGCTGTAAAATGGAAATAATAATAATATTCATTCCATTAGATTTAGTTTTATATACATATATATATCATAATATGACACAGAGATGGATCGTAATTTTAAAAATCATATAAAGTTATTTCAAAAAAGAAAGACTATAAAGAGGCATAAAGTAATGGGAGTTAAATGGAATACAACATTTGAACTCAGTATTTCATGAGTGAGAAGAGATAAGGGCTCACATATGGACAGGAAAGAGATAAGTTAGAATAAGAACCTAGAAAGTGTCTATGTCTGTGTATTTGGCAGAAGAAAAGCAAAAGATGCGACGAATAACTAAGATTTAGGGCACTTTATCTGTTAGAATATACCTCTATACCAATATATATACGGTTCCTGCAATAGCCCAGTGGTTAATGTCCTTTGTCGAGAAACGTTTCAGAATGAATGCATCTAATGGAGCTCTGCAAAATATAGATATCCAGGTCCACCTCTGGAAATTGATTCCACAAGTATGAGGTGGGACTTGTATTATTTAAAAGCTCCAGTAATGATACTGAAATACTCCTGGATAAAAGTCACTGTAAATAAAAAATAGGAAGCTCAGGAAGTTTGAGTGACTTGCCCAGATCTCACTTTATGAGCGGCAGAGGCAGGATGTGAAACAAGGTGCTTTAACTGCCACTTGTGTGTTGTCTTCCATGGTGACACTCCGGAAGACACGGTCAGCCTCTGAGTCTATTCATTATGGCTGAGTTGACCTGGAACTGGAAAGCAGCTTGCTGTCTGATAAATGGAGTCCGGGATATAGCCACAGTATAATGTATGAATTTAATTAATGGCAGAGCACATTGAAATCAAGGGAGAAGAGCTACCAGAAACAGCGACAGATCATTTGGGGCTATTGCAATGCAAAGCTAAGGCGAGGCCATACTGCCTGCCAATGATAACGCCAATATGTAGTAACTTGACTTTTTACCTCTGCAGACTCAGTCTGGACATGAGAATGCAGCTCGGGCCTCAGTGAGACCCCTGTAGCCCCTCTTGATGGCAGTGAGAATTTTATACCTGTGCAAAGAGCAGCCAAGAGCCCAAGAAATGAGGAGGAAACAAACAAGCCCACCCAGGGGCGGTTTGATGAGTACATTAAACAACTCCTGATTTTCGCCTCAACGCAAATGTTTTGCAAAGATGCAGACTCGTTGCCCCCAGGACAGTTCACAGGATTCACCCAGGAGTAGTTTCAGAATTTGACCTAGAGTCTTCCACTGAAGTTATTGATTTCTCCTGAGTTCCTTCTGATGGGTCATTTTCACAGCCTGTTTGTGTACCTCTCTGTGGGGCACTCTTTGGTTCTCAGCCACAGGATCATGGATTAGGTTATTCATTGTTGTTGAGGCCAAGAGGTCGATTCCCTCTTTCTCTGCTGGCCCTTCAGGCAGATATTTTTTTTTTTTCATTTTCATGTTTAAAAATCCAGATACTTTATAACACTGTTTCATGAGGAGGGGTAGGCTGGCCCTGTAAGCTTCAGTTTTTGGGTATCAGTCACATATGTCAAGAATGTAGCGAGGGATCAGTGTCAGTGCAGCCCTACTGCTTCAGAACAAAACCCACTGTGCACTGGACAGGCTCTGAAGACGGTGAGGCTGGGAGATCACAGATGATGAATGTTGCTCAGGGCAGCAGCCGCTATGCACGCTTTTCTCTCCTTGTGCTTCCCTTACAGCCCCAGGATTTATAATGCTCTGTCTTATCCAATTTTGGTCACAGCCTGATGGATGTCATAAGGCTGTAAATACTCTGAGGTTTTACTTTTCTGTGTGTGTTTTCTCCTACTTTGTATTTGCTGTAATCCATGTCATCCGATAATGGATTAATTTTTGGATCCACTTTTTGTTCTTGCTAAGCTCCTGAGATTTAGAAGATGAATATTCATAGTATAAATATGTGAAACCGAGCTGAAAAATTATTCTGGCACAGATATATAGGGAGAACAAAATGCAATATTGTCCCAGGGAATCTGATAAATGTAAAGAGGACCAGATTAGAGATAAGAGGACCTGGATTTGATTCCAGGCTGTGCCGCTAATCACCTCCCTTTCTGCATGATAAAGCACTGGACTAGGTAGCCTCCAAGTTTGGTTCCAGTTCCGTCATTGTATGGATGGATTAGGGCTCTGGTTCTCCATTAGGAAAAGCAAAGTCTTCCTATATCTCAAGTTGGTGCTGTTGACAGCACCACACTGTCCCAAGTGTGTAGTGGAGTGATGAACTTGAGCACAGTCCTGCTGAAGGTCAAAGGCCTGCCTCCTGGTAGAGCTTACTTTCCCTCAGAGAAAGCAGAGACTTCAGGTGAAGCTGGAAGAGGGAAGGATGGTAGGGTAGATGGGACCTCTCACCTTGAGGAAGGGAAGTTGCACTAGGAGAAAGATGTTCCATGTGCAAGAGGAAGAAATTTCATCTCCAATGGCTCCAAGGGGCTGAACTACATGCAGGAGACAGGAGCCTCAAGGAGAGCCACTATTTCAGTGCAAATGCACACAACCGTCATTCCAAACTGTGGGAAACTACCCCACTCACTGCTCTCTCCAGCTCCCTCTCCCTAGTGGCAGCCCGGGAATTTTGATATAGCATAAACAAGGCCAGGTTAAGGATTAAACACTTGGATTCAAATCCAAGCTCTGCAAGAAGTGCATTGCAGTGACTGGGTGGAGTGACCATATTGTGAGGATATTGAATAGTTCAGCACCAAATGTCAGCTGGAGAAGATGACTCTAAGGCCTTTTCCAGTCTTAGATTTATGAAAATCTTTGAGTGTCTCTCCCTCTTTCCCTGAAATTGAAAATAAAATATAGAAGAAACTGGCATGGCCCTGCTTGGTCTGGTGCCAAACTCTTGGTATAAGTAGGTTAAGTGGGCATTTGTTTACAAAAAGATGATAAAATCTAGGCTACTCTTTTCCAAAGCTTCTTCTAAACCTCACATCAATGAGCACACAATGATCTATATTCATTTGTGGCCCTCTGTAATTTCTTTAAGTGCAAGTATTAGACAGATTTGAAATATAACAAGTACTATTGAGTCTAGCATTATGGATAAAATCCAATTGAGAATTGAAACAAAACAAGACATTACTTAGAATCTGCACTTAACCAAAGAGGCATGACATACATTTATTCTGCCAAGACAAGTCAGCTTTGATGAAGAAAATCCATCATACCCTCCTGACCCCATTCATTTTCAATGCCCTTCACTTCCATTTATGTAAGTCAACCAGTTTCATGGCCACATACCTGTCCAGCCACATCCAGCTCTCCAATTCAGCTACTTCCACCAAGCCCAGTGTTAGACTTTGCAAGTCCCCGACCTCTCCAACCATCGGCGCTCTGGTGTCTTTGCCTCCTTCTTTCTCTAGTTTAAAAAATGCTGTTCAACACTAGGAATTGTCCTATATGACTGTAAAAACCTCAACCTAGAATTAATCTACTCCCCACTTTATTCGAGTCTGCTGAGTGCTGTTAGGAAAACACACACACACACACACACACACACACACACACACACACACACACACACACACATTGATGGCGTTCTCCTATCTCAATAGAGCCTTCCATATGGTCCATAAATCTCTCTGCTCTGTTTTCTCCCACTTTACTACAGCTATTTCAAACTGTGTCCACTATCCACAAACGTTCAACTCTGCTGTTTCACTGGCTTACTCTCAGGAAATGACCTTACCTCCTTCACAGAAAAAGCTAAAATCATCAAAGGAGAACCTCCTAAAATCTTCAAATGCCACCAAACCTATAAACTTGCTGTGTTCTGTACCCACGTTTTTATCCTTTGCTCCTATTTTGATAGCAGAAGCATCTTCAATGTCTGTGAACAATGACTTCAGCACTTCCCCCAAATCTTGACAATTTTATTTCCCCTACTCTCTATATCTAAGCTTTTGTTGTTGGCTCCTTCCACTCAACGCTTAAGCATGTTAAACTAAGTCTTTCTTGTCTCGAATGCCCCCAACCTTGACCCCGAATCCGCTTCCCGCTATCATTGATCTCCCTGTCATAACCATTACTTCTCAAGTGAGCTGCTCACACTCACCACTCTGCTTCCTTCCCTCCCAGCTACTTCTCAGCACACCCCATCTGACTTCTGTCCCCAGTGCACCAGGAAAGCCCATCTCGCCATAGTCGCCCTCAAACTCCTTGTTGCTAAGTCCGTTGAGTGATTCTCCATCTTCCTAGTGTATACTTGTATACTGTGGCCTCTTTGAAATCATCTTTCTTTGACCTCTGTCATACTGCACAGTCCCAGTTTTGTTTGGTTTTGTTTTCTTCCTCAAGTTGACTGCCCTTTCTAACTACCCTTTGGATTCTTTCTTCTAAGCCTGTTAGTGTTCCTCTGAGTTCTGCCTTTTTATCTCATGCCACACCCCTCTCAGGCAGTGGCATGCATTCCCATGCATTATATAGCCTGATGCCCAATGCACAGCCCCAATCTCTCCAGAGTTTCCTGATCTAGTCCTCAGTGACTCCCTAAAAGTCTCCACTTTGATTTTGAAAATGACAAAATTCAATTTGCCATTTTCTCCCCCAATCCAGCTCCTTCACCTTTGTCTCCTGTGTCAGGCAAGGGCCTCATTGCCATCACCTACTAGCACAGCCAGAAGTCTGGATCCCATGTTGCTCCTCTTTCTCCTTCTTTTTCTGAACACTGAATCAAACAGATCACCATACCCTGAGAATTCTTCTTGGTGAATTAATATCTCCTAAATCCTTCCATTCCCTCTGCTACCACCCTACTTAGATCTCCACTATCTCTGTCCTCCCTGACTCTCTAACCTGCTTTCTAAGCTATACACAAAGTGACCATTTGAGTATTCAGTGGCAATTTCATCATGCCAATTTCTCAATACCACTGTTTCTTCTTTAGAGGAAAGCCACACTTCTCAACTTCACCCCGTAACTCTTCATGACCTGGCCTCTTATCTCTTCAGACCAAGGCTTTTCAACTTTGGCACTCCTGACATTTTGGGCTGAATAATTCTTTGTTGTGGGAGGTCGTCTGGTGCATTGTAGGATGTTTAACAGCATCCTTGGCCTTTACCCACTAGATGTCAGTAGCACCACCACACCAATTGTGATAACTAAAAATGTCTCCAGACATTGCCAAATGTTCTGTGGAGGGCAACATTCACCTTGGTTGAGATCTACCACTTTAAACTATCACTACATCCTACAACCTATATGTTTGAAGTTCTAAGCATACTCAACTTTCCTCTACTCTGCTAAGGAACCATTTTTATTATTTAAAAAATATTGTAGTCCAGGCATGATGGCTCACGCCTATAATCCCAGCACTTTGGGAAGCCGAGGGGGGCGGATCACTAGGACAAGAGATAGAGATCATCCTGGCCAACATGGTGAAACTCTGTCTCTACTAAAAATACAAAAATTAGCCAGGCATGGTGACGTGCACCTGTTATCCCAGCTACTCGGGAGGCTGAGGCAGGAGAATCACTTGAACCTGGGAGGTGGAGGTTGCAGTGAGCTGAGATCGTGCCACTGCACTCCAGCCTTCGACAGAGCAAGACTCTCTCAAAAAAAACAATTTTGTAATAGTTTTATTGACATATAATTCACAGAGCCTACGGTTTATTTATTTAAAGTATACAATTGAATTGTTTGTAGTATAATCACAAAAGGGGACAAATATCACCACAATCAATTTAAGAACATTTTACTAACCAAAAAGAAACATTAGACCCATTAGCAGTCACTCAATTTTTCTCCAATTCCCCCAGCTCTAGGGAGTCACCTGTCTACTTTCTGTCTGTATTGGTTTGTCTCTTATGAACGTTTCATATAAATGGAGTCATCTAATACATGGCCTTTTGTGGTTGGCTTCTTTCACTTAGCATAATGTTTTCCAGGTTCAGTCAATTGTAACGTATGTCATTACTTCATCACTTTTTATTGCTGAATAGTTTTCTCTACCATGATATACTTTGCACATCATTGTAGTCTCTACAGTGATATTGCAGACTTGTTCTTATTTCATGGACACTGCACTTTTTTTTCTCTTTCATTCAAACTCTGCTCTTATATTCATTATATGACTGTCCTTATACACTGCCAACCCAGTCTCTACCCTAAGTTCTAGAAGCACAGGTGTATCACGAGTGGCTTCAACAGGCCAATCTAGAAGCCATCTTGCTGTGATCTAACATTGATAATTGGGTTTCTCCTGAATGAAGACTTTCTTAATCCTCTTTCTCTGTCCACCTCCATTCATCACCTCTCTTTTCATCCTTGCAGTTGAGCTTGGTGAGGTCAGAACTTTTGGGTTGCTACCATAGTGCCCTGTGCATATTTTTATCAAAGCACTACATCATCTAATATCTGTCTTTCTTGCTAGTGTAAACCTTTTGAAGGCAGAAATGATATATTACTATTAATACATTCAGTACCTGACACATTGTCTGGCACAAGTTAAGCATTTAAATAAACTTTTTGAGGAGAGAAAGACAAGAAGGAAGGAAGGAAAGGAAGGAGGGAGGGAGGAAGGGAGGGAGGGAGGGAGGGAAAGAAAGAGAAAGAGAGAGAGAGAGGGAGGGAGAGGGGGAGGGAAAGAGAAAGAGAGAGAGAGAAAGAAAGAGGGAGAGAGAGAAAGAGAGCAAAAGAAAGAAAGAATGAAGGGAGGGAGGGAAAGAAAGAGAAAGAAAAAAGAGAGAGGGAGGGAGGGAAAGAGAGAGAGAGAAAGAAAGAGGGAGGGAGAGAGAGAAAGCAAAAGAAAGAAAGAAGGAAGAAAGGGAGGGAAGGAAAAGAAAGAAAAAGAAGAAAGAAAGAAAGAAAGAAAGAAAGAAAGGGAAGAAAAGGAGCAAGAGAGTTGTTCCTTTGATAAATGCCTTGCCTTGTGTTGTGATTTTCTTGGATGTGGGCCTGGCTTGGTGCTGGTCACACTTCCCAGACCTGAAGTCTTGCCATTTCACAAGAAATGGAAGTGGTGACAAGAACTTTCTGTCGGTCTCCATGACTACCTGCCCAAATCACTGACAGCTGCCTTGCCTGGCTTTTATCTTAGATGTGCACATGACCACCTCTCCTGGATTCCATGTTGACCCTCTTCTCGTGGACTCACTGAGCTGCTGTCTCTCAGTGTTCGTAGTTCTCTTCTGAGCTTGCATGTGAACCTGTCTCTTGAGCCAGCCAGAAACTCCTTGCAGGGCAGGGACAGGCAGTCAGCCTCGTTTAGGCACCAGATCCTCTGCTGGGGAGGTCAGACAATAAACATGGCCGCCTCCAACAGGCGACACTAAAGAGTAGATTCTTTCTTACTCGTTGACTGAGGCAGTATGGAAAGATTTGTTTTGTTTTATATGTATGTTTTATATTCTATTTTATGTAACAAACAAAGCACTGTTTGAAGTGCTTTGCAAATGTTAACTTGCTAAATCTTCATAAAAACTTCACGTGGTAGCTGCCATTTTTTTTTTTATCCCTGCCAAAATACCTTGCACACGATCACATAGCTGGTAAGTGGAAGGGCCAGGATTCCAAGACAGATAGTTTAACTCTAGAAACTTGCCCTACTGCCTCTCTCATTGCCGGGCCTTCCCACATGAGCTCTCCTTATCTGGAGGCTCCTTCAGCATCTCTTCACCTGGCCCATGCCAACCTGCCCTTCAAGTGTTACTCAGTATCCTCCTCTAATAAATAAGCTTTTCCTGCCTCCCTGGGCCTGGATT